AGGGGGCGAGGGGCCCAGTTCGCTGCTGGGCCCCGCGTCCCACTCGACTCTCCCTCCCGGAGCGGGCGCTGTAACATGATCCCCGGAAATTCCTGGAGAAGGGCCGCCCCCCGCCCCTCTCCCGGCAGCTCCGGGTCTCGCAGCCCGCCCGGGACGCCCCATCCTCTCCTCCTCCCCGCGCTGCCCTCGCTTAGGCTCCCCAGCCCGAGGCCTCGTCGGGGACCAGGCCCCACCCAGGCTGGAACTTGCCCAGATAGGGATCCCCCACGTTGCACGATCCTGCACCTCTGTGCCGGGCTGCGCCTCCAACAGGGACCCTTACCCAGCCAAGTTGGTGATGGGGAATCGGTGATGGCTGCGCAGCATCTGGCTGTGCCAGGACCGGCGGGGTGGGGTCCGGGGGAGAGAAGGGGGCCAAGGAGAGGCGGTGCTCGCCTCCTCAACTCCAGGCCCAGCACATGACTCATAGAGTCTGCCCCCACTCGCCCTGCAGCCCTGGGAGGGGGAGGGGGAGCGCAGACGGGGTGCCAGAGGCGGAGCTGGATGCCCACCCTGGCCAGGGACGTCCGAGGTCTGGCTTCTGTTCCTCGAAGGCTGCCGTGTAGATTGAGGGGTGGGGAGGCCGAAGACCAAGCGGCGTCCCTCGATGCACGATGAAGGAGGGCTAGGTGGACGGGGGACTCCACCTTTGGGGGAGGTGATTGCTCGGAACACGGGGACTGCCCTCCACCTTTGGGGGAGGTGACTGCTCCGGAACATGGGCGTTTTTCGCACCGACCCCTTTGGAATCTTCCCAAGGACAACTTTTCCATTTTGCGGTTCTGCAAGACAGACTCGGGGAGCGTAGAACAGATCTCACCGTCAAGGGGAAAAGCAGGTTCCCAGAGGCGAGAGAGAAGATAGAAAGGGAGAGGGGAAGGGGGAGGGGGGAGACCCCGAGCCGCGGAGAAGCAGACTAGAACCTTATTAAACTTTTCTCTGTGTCCGGAACAGAATTCGAGATTGCAAAAAAGACTAGGGCAGGGAAGGCAAGACTACTTAGAAGGAAGGAACTGTGAATGGAATTATTCACAAGAAGAACTAGTGAATGCTGGAGAAATCTGTGCGCTGGGTGTTTGGAATATTGCTCGAGTTTCTTCAAGAGTCTTGTCGGGAAAACACATGAAATCTGACTGTCATAGGTAAAGAGGGGAGATGTGACCACCTTCTACCTCCTGTGGTACTTTTCTCCTCCCCTCTGCCTGACTCGATTTTTTTTTTGCCACCAAATCACCGTTATTGATAAGCCACATATCCTCTCGGGACCTCAATTTACACCAATATTTGAGGGAGTTGGGCCTGATACATTCTGCTCTAACGTTCCAGAACTTAGCTACACCCTCCCTGAGTTAATCTAATTATATCCATTACAGTTTTGCAGTGTTATTGTCTCCTGGAATTTGCAATCCTTTTCCCTGAAGTTGCTGAAGATGGGAATCGCTCAGGACCAGACCCGAGTGGCGGACAGCTACACCATCCACTCGCCGCAGCAGATAAACACGTCTCCGAAAAACTACAACTCCCAAGAAGCTTTAGAGTCTTGCTAGGGGAGGAGTAGCGCATGCTTAGTTCCTCTGAAGGAAATTAAACCTAACTACTATTCCCAGCGGGCGCCGCGCTATAGATCAACCAATCGGCTTTAAGTGAAAAGCATCGCGAGTCTTCGGTGAGAATTGGCTCTATAAGCCCGTGGGAACGGATCTCGGAAACCCTTTTTACGAAGATGGCGCCGAAAGCAAAGAAAGAAGGTGTGTGCTGACGCTTGGGGGGAACACTGCTAGCTGGCCGCGGGTCCTCGCAGAGTGAACAGACTGAAAGGAGGATTCCTGGGCTAAGACTTGGGGGTGTCAGCTCCGGGGCTTCTCCTCCGGTTTCGGCCACGCTGCGCCGTCCGCGGGCCCAACCGCATGGGCTGGGCTTCAGTTGAAGGGGGTTGGGGAGGGAGCCGACAGCCAGATAGCCGACTGTGGGGAGCTATACGCATCCACACGGAGCCGCTCCATATCTCCAGACCTGTAAGGAATCAGTGCCCTCAACTTATCTTATTTTTTTTTAATCCGCATTATAGACGGCTATATACTCTGCCAGGGTGGCTGTGCGATGTTATATATAAAACTACTAGCACGCATTCTGGCAAGCGGCAAGCGTTCGGTCATTGCTACTTTTTCCTCTGTGATATCCCTGGAGTTACTCCCTAGTTTGCCCCATTAACGTGCATATGATGGAAAAACTTTAAACCTGAGACTTGTGATGTCTTCAAAGGAACCACTGATGCACATGTGGCCTGGCGCGCCCACTACAGTCCTTTAGGCCGGAAGTGCTCGATTTCTTAATCCCACACCCTCATTCTCTTTGCTTTTCTCAGCCCCTGCCCCTCCCAAAGCCGAAGCCAAAGCAAAGGCTTTGAAGGCAAAGAAAGCAGTGCTGAAAGGCGTCCATAGCCATAAAAAAAAGAAGATCCGCACGTCACCCACCTTCCGACGGCCGAAGACACTGAGGCTGCGAAGGCAGCCTAAATATCCTCGGAAGAGCGCACCCCGGAGAAACAAGTCAGTACTCTCTCCCGGTACTCCCCCGCCCCGAATTATAAGAAAGCTTATTTAGAAAGTTACAGAGGTAGTAGAAGTGAGCCAGTTGGGCTGTGTAGGCTTAGGAATCAAGTTATTGAGGCAGAAGGGCCCTTGGATCGTAGGAGAGAGAAAGGCAAAGGTAGTGCACCTCGGGAGAAGAGGAAAAGAAGCTAACCATACTCATAACAAGATGTTTGGTTATCCTCCATTGGTAATTTTTTTTTTCTTTTTAAAGGAAAAAAAATCACTTACTCAGGCCTAACTATGGGCCACACTATTTCAGGAAAGTTAATCTTTAAGGGGAAAAAAATGTCCGGATGAAATAAGTCTCTCATAGCCACAGGCTAACTCTGTCATCCTCTCATGGAAGATTAAGTCCACTGGCTACCCAAGGAAGTAAGTGGACTCCTGATTTCCTAGGAAAGGTGATCCATTGGTAATTATGAAACTTACCAAACTTAGAGTATGGTTTCTCAAAAACATGTTGAGGTGTACTTAATAGTTTCTCTAATGGGGGTGTGGGGAGAGTGATTCCTTAAGAACAAAAGGGGGGGCGTGGCTCAGCGGTTGAGCCTGGACCTAGGATCCAGGAGATAGGGGTTAGATTCCCTGTCAGGGCACATGGTGGGTTTCGATCTCAATCCCCAGTAGGGGATGTGCAGGAGGCAGCAGATCAATGATGACTCTCTCATCACTGATGTTTCTCTCTCTCTCCATTCCTCTCTCTGAAATCAATAAAGATATATTTTAAAAAACAAAACAAGAGGAGACTTTTTTACACTATTGGCAGGAATTGTTTAAAACAACCCAGAGTTAGTGCCGAGGTTCAAGTCCACTTTCTTGGAAGTATAAAGAAGGGCTTACATGTTCTTTGTTTTGGAGCTTCAGGCTTATAGTTCGTTCCTCATACCACCTATTGCTGAAGGGAGTGGTGGTTGAGGATGTGGAATGATTGAAGGTTGACAAAGGAGGTCCATCCATATGTATTGGATGGTGAAGGCCAGCAACAGTGTATGGAAACGTCATTCACTCTCAAATTTTTACACTCGGGTAATGGTTAGGGGGAAATGGGCGAAAAGTTAGGGAACTTGAGTATTCTGGTGTCATGCTGCTGTTAATAACTGACCTTAGGAACCACAAGATTAGAGCATAGTGGTGGAAAATGGGTTTCTGCTTCTCCCACTGCTTCCTAAGAAAAAGGCGGAGAGTGGGTTGCGTCGGCTGTGGAGGAAAGCACTTGACAGACTTTTTTTTACCCCCATTTGGACCTAGTATTTAGTGTAATAAGAGTTTGAGACCTGACCTCTAGCTTCAAAGTGGGATGGTAGTGTCCATGTGAACAGAGCCTTGCTCCTCTGAATTTCAGGGGAAAAACTGTTGTAGGGGCATTCAAACCACTGAGTTTAACCTGAGCTGTAAATAAAAGGTTGCTCTCAAGAGTTGATGGCCCTCAAACTGGTTTTTAGTGACCAAAGAGAGTAGAAAAGCCTGGCCTGCCCAGCCTTATAGTGAAGCGCCAACATTCGTTGGAACTCTAGCCTGAGTTCCAAGATGCTGAATTCTAGCTTTGTGCTCTTTGGTTTTAACTTCTCAAGTCTTAAATTTTCTCCAGAAATCCCGTCATAAATGTTAAGGTCAAATAAAGAATGAAGGGGTTTGGGGCTCAAAGATGATTCTTTAATCATTTAAAGGATGAAAGTCCTTCAAGAGAAAGAAAATGCACATGGTTTTGCTCCCAGGCTGAGGCTCCAGGTCCTTAGGTTTCAGGGTGCAGATGATGACACTGTTCAGCGACCAAAGTCTGACAAAAATGATTGCTACTCATCGTCTGATGCACCTGGGCTCCAAAAGAGGGCTCACCCTTTCTTCTACTGGGCTCAGGCCAGGTGACTGCATTTTACCTCCCCAGGCTTGACCACTATGCCATCATCAAATTCCCCCTGACTACCGAGTCAGCCATGAAGAAGATAGAAGACAACAATACACTTGTGTTCATTGTGGATGTCAAGGCCAACAAGCACCAGATCAAACAGGCTGTAAAGAAGCTCTACGACATTGACGTGGCCAAAGTCAACACCCTGATCAGGTGAATGGAACCCCATGGGCTGGGAGGGGAGGCTGGGGCCTCAAGTCAGAAAGAAGCCATACCCAGCCAGGTGTGGCTCAGCAGTTGAGCAATCTACCTAGGATCCAGGAGATCAAGGTTTTCCTGGTCAGGGCATATCCCTGGGTTGCGGTCTTGATCCCCAGTTGGGAGTGTGCAAGAGGCAGCTGATCAGTGACAACTTTTTCATCGTTGATGTTTCTCCCCCCTCTCCCTTCCTCTAAAGATACGTTTTTTAAAAAGGAAAAGCCAGGAAACCTGAATAGTATGAAATCCTTGATGCTGCTTTTGGAGTCAGAAGTAGTTTTCTGAGTGTGCAAGCCTTGAGAAATGAGCAGCCCCTGCTGTAATTGTAGTCTTTATATTGAGTATGGACTTTTGAGAAATCAACTGTTTTTATGTCAGATTACCTGGATTTAAATGTCCTGTGATGTTTTCTGTAAAAGGGAATTGGCTTTATTTGTAGCCTAGTGGCTTCCCTAGCTTCCTCTGTGCAGGTGACAAATCACTATTTGGAAAAGAATGACATGGACAAAGGAACCCCTGGTGCCCCAGGTGACCAAGGTGGGGGGCCTGGTATGGGGGCACTGAGGATAGCAGGGATTAAGGCTGCCTTTTCCACCCTAGGCCTGATGGAGAGAAGAAGGCATACGTTCGACTGGCTCCTGACTATGATGCTTTGGATGTTGCTAACAAAGTAAGCTTCCTTTCCCGCAAAACTCCTTAACACCCACCCCCTGGGTGCAGATGATGTGTCTGTTAGTGACCAAAGCCTGACTTTTGCTGATTAGTCTTAACTGACTGACTGCACCCCTCTCCGTAATAGGTCCTACCCTATGCCCACATTTTGCTTTTTAATCATGACATTCCAGTTTAATCTTCACATTTCAACTTCCAGTAACAAAGTTCCCTTTTGTTTTTCAGATTGGGATCATCTAAACTGAGTCCAGCTGGCTAATTCTAAATATAAAAATCTTACACTGTATTGTTTCTTTATGTTGATTTCTGGTTGGGCTGGGGGGGCCATACTGTGGTATGAGTTTGGGCAAGACTTTGGTCTACTTAACCCTGTTGGAACACTCAGCACTGTCACTTCACCATACTTGTTACAATCCTGGCGGTGGGAGCTCAGCAGATATTTATGACCCAGACTAGGGTTAGTTGTCCTAGGACAACTAGAACTTTTCTCTGTCATAGGAGTAAGTGAACAAACAAGAAGTTTTACAGGAACCCCTTCCTTTATCCCTGGAAGAGGAGGCGGCGGCTTTGTATGAAACCAATACCCAGAATTTTCATTAGCAACCATTTCAGGGCAATGTGGGTTAGCTGGCTTTCGGGTAGCACTTTGTCCCCACACCCATCTACCATGTCCAACCGGTCTGTCTGCTTCCCTCACCCCTTGCCCAAGAAAGGACAAGGACTTCAGAGGAGCGCTTTCATTAGTTTTCAATAGTGGGTGCAGGCTTGAAAGGTGGAGAGGCTGGATGCCCCGGGTTTGGGGCTCTCATCACAGTTTATGCATGAGGCTGTTCTTGGCTGTTTGCTGTCCTTGCCTCAAGTCCCAGGCTCTGTGCCTCTCACTCTGTCAAGAACTTGTCTTTGTGTTGTGGGCTGGGCACAGGTTCAGGGCAGAAGTCCGAGCGGAGGAGGCGGGAAAAGTAGATGAGGATCATGATGTCCAGCATGAGCAGGATACCCAGCAAAAAGGTGCCTAGGGTCCTCTGACCCGCATATTGCAGGAAGAAATGGGTGAGGTAGGCCTGAGGGGCCAGGCGGAAGATAAAATACATGACCAAGTTGACATACTTATTAATTTTGTAGAGGAGGAGATGCTGGGCATTGTTGATCTTCATCATCATGCGAATGGTGAGGAAAATGTTGCTGACTTCTACCAGCAGTGTTAGGACACCCCCACCTACAAAACTGCTCCAAAAGATGCCTGAAAAGAAGGCACCCATGGCCTAGAGGGCAAAGATGAGAACAGGTTAGGAAATAGATGCCAAGGCTTTCCCGGAAGTTGGTGGGAGTATCAAGGTTATCGGATTGAGGGCGGGAAAGTCTTCCCCTATTTGCTTTATTCTGGCATATAGTTTATAGTGAGTTCAACACATTAAATTTTGATCCCTGTGTAGAGTTTACAGTGTGAGGTACTAGGTGAAGTTATGGATTGCTGGCCTCAAATCAGTGAACCAAGGGCACAGCATGGGACACGGTGGGAATGGAGTTAAGACAGGGCTGAGACTAAAGTTGCTAGCACCAGGCCTATACCACACCCCGTTTCTCACCATTACATGATGGACCAGGTATTCCCAAGAAGCTCGCGCCTGACGACTAACCACAATGTCCACCGTGTCGTGGATGAAATAACCTAGCAGAGGGATGGGGGAAGAGGTCATGAAGGGAATTATACGAAGCTTCTCCTGTTCCCCCACCCACTTAAATGCTTAGTGGGCAAGACTTACCTGCGGAGAAGCAAACGAGCAGATAGCCAGAAAGTGACCATGCCGTCTCGATCTCGACCAGCATTTCGGGAGTCTGCCATACACTGAAAGGGAGGGAAGAAGGCAGGCGCTCATCTCCCATTCCCAAGGACCTTCAACTCCCCTTTTCCCCTTGCCAGTCTCGAGGGAGTCTGGGCTTGCTCTATTAACTGGGGATCGAGGAGGGGCTTGGCTGAAACCCAGGTGTCTCCGCTTTCCCAGGTGAGATCCCGTTCCCCTGGGGCCGCTGCGGCTCCGGATTGGATAGTCTTCCAGACGGAATCATGTGAGACTGCGTGGCCTCAGCCCGCCGCGAGTGATGGGGAGAGTAACGCGGGATCCCCTAGCCACCTTCACTCCCCCGGGTTCTTCACTCACCACAGCAGAGCCCAGATCCCTGACACAATGGAATGGGCGAAAGAGACCAGCAGGTTGTGCCAACGCCAGGTGCGCAGGGGGTCGGCGCGCACGTGCGCGGGGAGAGGAAGACGACAGAGCGCGCGCCGGAGCGCCCGGAAGGTCAGCGTGGCGCCCAGGAGCAGCAGCAGGGCGGGGTGCAACAGTGGGGGCATATTGGCCCTCCCTGCCGTCAGTCTGTCCGCCCTCTAGGCGGCCTCCTCGGGCTGTTCGGAGAACGGGGCTTCCTCTCGGGCGAGTCCACTCCGGACGCCTCCCCTGCCGGCCGGCAGCCTCACACAGTTTTCACCGGAGCCCTCTAGGCCCCTTCGCTCCTC